GCCCAGGAAACAGGAAAAATGCAGCGGAACACACCTCCAGAAGCTTGCAGAAGCTGTTTAAGGTGAACCTCCTTCCTGCCGAGGAGTCAGGATGCTGTTTTCATGTTTCACTGTTTTCATGTTTTTATAAAGTCCAGCCGGCTTGGGAAATGCCATTCAGCAACTGGAGCTGCACTCATGAATAAGTGTCATGGAGCACAGATTCTCTATTGTCTTGCTATCAACACTGGAAGCAGAACATAAGGTGGAAAACAATTTGAAAAAAAACAATGGCTTCAATTCAAATGACCTACCCAAGCAGAGCGATTAAATTAACAAACAAATCTCCAGGACTGACCCAGCCACCACACATTATCCCACCACCCTTCCTCTGCAGGTCTTCGGGAGATGGAAGGTGTTACTGAGGATCCTCCAGCAAACCCGAATTCTGTCTGAAGGTACATCAGGCGCTCCCTTTCCAAAGCCCTCTTGGGCTATCTTCCTGCTGTGGAGACCAGTAGTTCCACCCACTTGGCTCTGGCACCTTCCACCTCCTGGTCAGAGGTGGAGGGATCATGCTCGATTTTCCAGGCTCCGTCGGCACGATGTAGAAACTGACGACGGATCCGGCGTGGAGCAGGAGGTGCGTAAGGGTGAGGAAACGTCTTTCTGGGACATTCATCTTTCTCAAAATTAGGCATTTTTTTAAGAGAAAGAAACAAAAGAGGGAAGGGAGATGTGGAGGCAATATGTGGCTCAGTAAGTTTGGGTGCCGTGCCCATTATCAGAAGGCTGCAGGTTCGAATCTGCAGTCAGGAGAGTGATCTCACCACTGGCTGATCCTGCTTTCTAAATTTAGGTAAAAGCACCTGCAGAAAACATTTTGTTGTTGTAGAAGAGACTATTTGCACAACTAAAGTGTGTCTTCAGCTTAGTCATTTCAGACAGCCTGGTACTTATAAGCTGTCACCCTTCAACATACTGACCCTGCCACCCTCACACTGAACCTTGAGCAGACTCATCCTGTAAAGGTCACTCTTCACGTGGACCATTAGCTGGACTCTGGCCCACGGCGGCACCACAGGCGGGGACCGGAGTTGCTGTCACAGTAAGCGTAGAGACGGGGTGGTGGTGCCCCCCCCCGTATTCTGACGAATCGCGGAGGGACAAGGTGGGAGTAACATTCTCAGGGTGGCCGGTCTGAACTCACAGAGCCTTCATGTTTGTCATTGTGTAACGCTAATTAAATTACAATCCCCGTCTGTCTCCCAGAGCTGCTTCTCCAGTATGGGGTTGTGGAGAGTCTGGAGCCTATCCTCTGAAAGCACGAGGCAGGGGGAACACATGGAGCGAGATGCCAGCCCGCAGCACACACTGCTTTTGGAGATTCACAAATTTGCCAAACTGCATGTCCTTGGATTGTGGGAGTAAACCAGAGTACCTGGTGACATTAAAAGCGCACAATAAAGATGGTGAAAACATGCTCCATATACAGAGGCCAGGACAGGAAGTGACCTCACAACAATGGCGCTAACCACGGAGTCACCATAATGAACTTAATCATACATAATACAGTCATATCAATCGCATTTTAATCCTGTTTTCAAAGCTTATTTTCTGCATCAAAAATTGGACAAGGATGATTTGGGGTTGCCGGCTCATAACATTTAAATAGACAATGACTGGCAACTGGAGGTAAACTGGGGAAGACCTGGATGACGTCGTTAATGTAACCCCCTTATTGAGGGACCTTTTTCCATTCAAAGCTGTTCATACAATGCGCTTTTCCTAACGTTACCCCAGAATGCAGGAGCAAGGCTAGGTGTTTTTATTTAATTAATATGCAGGTCAGCTCTGTTCTGTATTAAGGTGCAGATCATAAATCGCATTTTATTTTTAAAACTGTAAAAACATAAAACTTTTTGCCTGCGTATGCAAAATAAAAATACAATTGATGGTTCCAACAATAGCGATAAACTCAGCTTGCCTCGGTTTTATTAAGCAGCAGTAGAACTGGCCCACTCAAATAACGTGGCAATTAGGGGCTCGGTAATTAATTAGCGGCGGAGGATCAGCGGCTGACGGTGGATTTCGGCGTGTGGTGGCCCGCCGGCACCTTGCTGCAACATCGTCACCAGCTCCGTCTGATTTGCACTGTGTTGGGTTTTATGGCGGAAGTAATGGCTTATTATCTTTTTTTACCGCTCTCTCACCCTGGGAAAACTGCTGAGCTTGTTAATAACGCTTCCCGTGCGTTGTTTCCGGCCCCTGGGTCATGCCCAGCCCTCCCTCTTCAAAGAGGAAAACAATGATTACGATAAATTTGGAGGGTTTCTTGTTGTGCTCCCCAATCAAACGGGCCAAACAGGATGCCACGCATGACGTTCGAGCCTGGTCATTGGCCAGTGCCCGATAACCATTCAGGAAGTGATGGTGGGCAGTCTCCCAGTTCAGTACTTCCCCTTGGATTTCCTATTACAATACATTTAATTTCTTCCAACGGTGTTTGATTATTTAGATTCCGGGGCTGAAAATCTTCCCCTTTTGTTTGACGCCAGGATTGCTGGGAGCCCCATGGCTGCTGGGGTAAGGGGGTTGGGAGCATAGCGTGGGACATATTCCTGCGCCGACCTGCTTCAGGCAGGTCTGCATGTGACGGCGCGCATGCAGAACAGGCCTGCATAACTCCCAGGCTGCACTGTGTAGCGTACTAAAACCGGACCGAAGCTTAGAGAACGGCACCTGAAAAAAGATGCTTTGTTTTAGGATCCGCTACAGACGCCGGCTGATATAACAATTACCGCTGTTTCTTTTTTTTCTTTTGGTTTTAATTGCCCCCCAAGCACTGCCCCCTGACCCCCTTTTAAGCTATGGTATCCTTCATAAATGTTTTCATCACCTCCTTTCCAGCTCTGATATTAAGGCCTCTTTTTTTCCCAAGTCACGATCTTCTACCAACATCTGTGAATCCTGTTAAATCAGGATTCTCTGGTCATACAGGCGAAAATACCCCCAATGCGTACAGCCTCTTATTCTGTACAATAACAGCTTATGAGCACTTTTCCTGACTATCAATCACCTCCTTCAATAGGGTTTTCGAAAAAAATTTACACACAAAACATGCAAACTAAAAACTTTTACAAATAATTTACCATATTTTATAAACTTTGTAAAAATTTTTAGTTTGCATGCTTTGTGTGTAATTTTATATATATATATATATGTGTGTGCGCTGTAGGGAACTTAAGTTGCATTTGCAATTTAAAAATAAAACTTAAAAAGGACACAAACATCTGACACATTGATACTGAAACATTTCACTAAGAAATGAAATACAGCCCAATGTGTCATTGCCACATTCTTAATGAAACTCAAGACCTCTTCATATTTTGTGCTGTGAGAGGATCATTAATGTTGAGCAAATATCAAGAAAAATTTAATTGGCAATAAAAACTTCTAATCCGCACACTTACGTGTCATGTGACATTTAAACACATTCAGCAAAATACAACTCAAAATATTTGCTTAAAAAAGGAATCATTTAATTAACAGGGTGAGTTCGGCAATGGCAGGAAGGGGTGCAATAAGAGAAAGCAGCCGATAGCCACTCATTCTTTTTCCGTGAGGAATGATCCACGCACTCCCACACGGAAGAGCGCTGCCTGCTCATTGCTCACTGCCTGACTGACCCACCTCCGCACAGCTAAGCACACGTAACGCGTAACCGCCGGCATATGCGACAGGCCATCTGCTGCCATGTCATGTGACCTCTCTGCGGAGATACGCATAATACTGCGCCATTCCAGTGAGTCGGAGATGACGTCATCGGATCTCGCTCTCCAGGAGAAAGTCCATGCCCTAGGAGAAGGCCCTGCCCAGTAGCAGAGAGCTTGTGGCACTACCAAGAACCACATTTCTGAAGGCACAATGGCAAGGTCAACCTGCCCCATGTCAGCAGCTCACTGCTGGCTTTTGCCCCATGTCAGAATTTCACAGTCAGCTTCAGCCCTATGTTTGTAGCTTGGCTTCTTCCCCAAGTCTGTAGCTCACAGTCAACTACTGCCCCATGTCTGAAGCTCATAGTCGGCTTCTGCTCCATATCTGTAGCTCACAGTCAACGTCTGCCCCATGTCTGTAGCTCACAGTCAGCTTCTGCCCCATGTCTCTAGCTCACTGCTGGCTTCTGCCCCACGTCTGTAGCTCACAGTCAGCTTATTCCCCAAGTCTGTAGCTCACAGTCAACTACTGCCCCATGTCTGAAGCTCATAGTCGGCTTCTGCCCCATATCTGTAGCTCACTGCTGGCTTCTTCCCCATGTCTGTAGCCCACTCTTAGCCTGCTAGCCCCCGTCCGTCAGCACACAACCAGTCCCCCGTAGGAACTTGTGCCCCTCAGCAGGTCCCTGCCAGCCCATTAACACAGTGATGGGGATCCCCATACAGCCGTGTAGAGCATCCCAGTTGGTCTGACAACCTTTAAAAGGCATCATGCAGAGCCGCCCCGAGACTGGCCCTGGCCCTGTCGCGCTGCCCGTGGGAGCCCCTATCCCAGAACACATGCCGGCTTACACCAGACTACCCACGATCCCCTCTGATTGCCCACGTTGTTCGGAAGATCTCGACATCAGCCAGACTCTACATCAGCAGGCACAGGACATACATTAAGCATTAACGGCCAAGTCATGCCTGGAAAAATGATGACCTGGGGGTGGATGGGGGTGTTACTGAAGCTCAAGCCTAGACCAAAGGACAGGAATGGTTCCATGAATCCCAATTTAAAAAGAAGTGAATGATGGAATCCAGAACTGAACCTGAATAGGCTCCCTATAATGAGCTCTGGGTTGCGATTTGAAATTTGCGAGTGTATAACTTTGGTCTGGGCCCAAGATGGCAATGATTCGATGACCCACAAGCACAACGTGGCATGCTTAGCGCATCGCAGCATGGATACACATTCATTGGCGAGAAAGGTGTCTGGAGAGGGAAAAGAAGCAGGGAGTAGGAAAAAATTGATAGGAATACCTGGACATAAAAGCGGCAAGAGCGCTCCCTCTTCTGCAGCTGTGATCCCGAGAGCAACGTTAGCAGGACAGAGTCAGATGCAAAAGAGAAACACAGTCACAAACATGGTCCCTGCTCCCCCTCGTTAGCAGCTCCTCGCTTCACATGGTGGCGGAGAAAGCGGCGCGCGCATTAATTACTCGCATTTTCAGTAAACATCAAAACAATCAAAAGAATCTTAATTAGAGCAAAGGAATCTGCAGCGCAGCTCAAGTGGAGATTTAACTAACATATCAGTTACGATTCAAGTTGAACTCCAAGGTTGGCAGCTCATTATTTTAATGGAACCATAGAATAAAAAAAAAAATGTGTTTCGCGCCTGTGTCATGGAGGGATAAAGTGACAGAAAAGGGACTTAAGGCAGTCAGTACATTATCCAGCTAAGGTCAAAAAATAATAACTTTGGCATGGCATTTGTTCGGCTTGGAGAGGCTGTTTATGACATTCACAAATTTAAAGAGGCTTCGGGGTTGGATCAAAAATAGAAAAAATCACTGCTTCACAGGCACGGTGAGAGACCAATAATGTCCTCCTCATTTGCGGTAATTTGTGCCACCTCTGTGTACAAGTGTCTGCTTCCCCCACAGCCCACCTCCATAGACGCAGCCCCATTAGCGTCCCGACAGCCTCTGATCACGAGCACGCCACTGACCTCAGTGTCTAATACGTGCCACGGAAAGTATCTTCAGCTCTGCTGCCTGTCAGCACGGCACGACACACCTATCTGACTGTTAGCAATCAAGAGTCCACAGACATGCTGGCATGTCGCAAAACGTTACGGGAAAGAGAATTAGCACACAAATCATCGCATTAATAATTTACACTATGCAGGGGATTTAAAATATCAGATTTCAGACATACTTATTGCAGTAAAAACAGTGTGACAGTCTGAGAAAAACATTCATCAAAATAAGTGGTGATAAGGCAAATGTTTTTTAAGTTTTATAGACAATATCTACAAAAAAGACTGCCACTAACTATTACAAGTCCTATTTGTATTGCTGTTTCTGTGTTATAACACAATTTTTTGTATGTCTTACTTTCACAAAGATGCCAATATACATTGCCGATATGCATATGTAACCGCTAAATGTTATGAGTCAGCCAATTTTTCTTGCCTGTTTCTTCTTTCATTACATCTACAATTTGAAACACTCCATAAAATGCTATTCCCACTTTGAGAAGGCATCTTCATACCTAAACCACACCCATATAATATACAGATATAAAACACCAGAAAATATATGTTTTTAAAACAAAACATCTTTCACAACAATTTGCAATGTCTGTGTACAACAGGCATTTCATGGTAAACAGTCCAATCTGAAACATAATCATTGAAAAGGCATAGAATTCACTAACAGAAAACCAGCCCACATTATGCATAATGTTCACAGGCAGTCCCAGGCCGACCAGCTCTGTAGTCTCCTGAGTGCAACGTTAAAAACCCCCATCGCCCCCGTACGGTATTATGCTCGAACTTTAACTCTGGGCAGCCCTACACATCCCTGCTTTCTGTTGATTTGTTCTGCCAGCGTTTACACTGGATTAAAGACCACACTTGAGTTTAGGTGATCCAATTTACATAACCGGTATAGAAGCTCCGTGACCGATTTGGGCTTTAACATATTTCCTCCAAGGAATCAACAAACCCACATTCTGGGGAAAAAAAAAGAGAACTCAATTAAAAAAAAAAAAGAGCTCTTCGCAGACACAAAACAGCATTCTCTTAATAGTTTTCACACTAGCAGGTGTTACGGGCTGTTAATACAACGGCACGCTCGCACCCTTCGTGTGACTGCTGCTGGGGGAGGTATTAATTACACAGGTCTTTCTCCCTTTGGCATTTGTTTGTCGCTGGTGGGACTGATGGGGAGCAGGGGGGCATTTCCGACTGCTGAGGTGAAGAGCTCCGCCCAGTGGAGCCACCGATAAGCCTATCACAGAGGCGGAGCCACCGGTAAGCCTATCACAGAGGCGGAGCCACTGGTAAGCCTATCATAGAGTCGGAGCCACCGGTAAGCCTATCACAGAGGCGGCCCTCAAAACATAAGTAGATAATCCAGCCAGCTCTCCTATACTGTCACTCCCCCTCCGACTCCCTGCCTAGTCACTTCACACGTGTTTGTGGGATTGCGGGTTACTGTTTGTCATTTAATAAAATGTTTTTTAAGAAGAAAGAAGTGGAATTAAATGAGTCTAAGGCAAGACTGGGGAGATACAGGTTTTTGGGCAAGCGGTTGCTCATGAGGTCAACGCCAGCCTCCCTTGGGCCCTTCAGAAAAATCCTGATTCACTCTCCCCGCCCCCCCGACCTCACTGAACGGGAGGGAGCGGGCCGACGGAAAGGGGTAATGTCTGAAAAGCAATTTAAAAAACAGGTGTTCACGTTCCACTACTACACTGTGCCTGCAAATTAACGGCTGACATTTCAGATGCTGTTTTTCGGTGAGGGCGGCGCAGACGGGACGCATCACTCCAGCTTAACTGCGGCCGGCATGATGGGCGCCCTTCCGGCTCATCCCGCTATGACAGCCTGGAGCACGGCCCTCAGGATGAGGCGATACCCACTCGCAGATGGCCGGGGAACCGGTGTGTGAACGCTCACTGGGACATGAATTCTTCAGATTTATATATGTATATAACATTATATAAGATTATATATTATGTGTGCATATATGGAACTCTACATATGCAGGTGATTGCCTTAGTGCATTGTCAGCTATCTCATCCCAAAGACACGGACCGAGTTAGGCTCATTTCAAAAGGCACTGGGGCTGATTTTCTGATTTAAGATAACAATGGCTCCTCAGAGGTAAGACAAACGACTTTGTTTGTTCTGCAACCACTGCGGGCTGGAGGCTCCCTTCCTTTTGCTGGACGGGATGGGTGCCTTACCTTGTTCAGGCTGCGGGCGGCGCTGTCCTTGCCCCCAGGGGTGAGGTTGCGCAGCTGCACGTCCAGCAGGTCCACCAGCTGGCCCAGGGCGCGGACGGTGTACAGCACGTCGCCGGTGTGCAGCGGCCCCTTGGTTTGCTCCGAGAGCTCGCGGGTCACCATGGAGGCCGGCTCGCCCGAGCGTAGCTGCGTGGGCACAGTGGGCACAGTTAGCGGGCCCGGCCAGCAGCCCGAAGGATAAGCAAGCGCTGGCTACTGTTAGACACAGTATCCGGGCATGAAGAATCCCCAGGAAAACGCTCAAAAATGCTAGCCAAAATGAGCTAACCTCGATCTTATTTCCCCCCTTTTTCCCTCATCTTCCTACTCTTTGTCAAGGTGCACATGAAGGCAGCACTAAGTGCTGAAGGTATGTGTGCTACCCGCACTATGGTAACGGCATGGGAGAAAAGCAATAACCAGCCGCCTTTCAGCAGTAGGTGATTTCATATGATTTCTTTTCACAATGTCCAGGGCCCTAAACTAAGCAGGTCCCACTCCTATTCCGCGGGCAAATAGCTGTAATCCCAGCATACATTATCCACTATGGCCTCAAAGCCTGGAATATATCTTATTTCATTTGAGTTTATAAATAAAAAATCTGTTTAGGCTAAGGGCCTGGGTTATTATTTGTTAATGAGCCTCTCCATTTGCTCTCTGCAGCCTCTCGCTCTGTGTCTAAACTTTTAAATTACAATGCGTATCTCTGCAAGGCAGAGCGCCGGCAGACCAAGCGGCGTGCTCGCACGCTGTGATTTGCTGGCAGGCTGAGTCATCGCTAATATTGTGGCACGGTGAATCACGGTAACAAATTGCCCTGAGATTCTTAGGCGAACTAATCAAATCAACAAGCAAACACCTTCGTTAGCCTGTCGCTTTTGCTGTGCATGTAGGCCCTCAGCTAGCCTGGCGGGCGGCCGAAAGCTGGACCGAAGGCAGACAACTGCACGAAAATAAACTTTATCTCGGCTAAGCTAACTGGCTAACTGCATTTAGCAATTATCATCTGTCCATCTTCCTTAACGGCTTTTCCAATACAGGTGGTTGCGGTGGGCCTGCAGCCTCTCCTGGGCACCATAGGCCATGAGGAATGACACGCTGGTAGTAGCGCACTGGAAGGCACACACTCACATACACTGTGGGAAATTTAGAGATTAGCACTTATGTTTCCCATTGAAATATCACACAATAATAAGATCTGCTAAAGTGTGTGTCCGTTGCAATGCAGTCTGTGAGGTGTCAGGTGGAGATTGGTGCATGGTGGGTTAGGGTGCTCAGCGTGTTATTCAAAGGTTACTGGTTAAAATTCCAGGGTCAGCAGAGATTTCATCACTGAGCCCCAGAGCAAGGTCCATAACCCCGAATCGCTCCAGGCACCGTCCAACCCTGCTTTCTCTATTGTACGTCACTTTGGATAAAAGCCGAATAAATGAAATGCGAATGTCGTGAGCGTCAGTGAAAGAGCACTGCAGAGGAGGTCAGCCCTGTGCTGGGAAACTTTCAACTGATGTGCTGTTAAGTGTGCGACCTCGTATTTTTCTACATGCCACATAATTGGATCTGAATCGATCTGCAATGTCAGTTCACGCAGACGGCTGGCAGGCACGTTAACAAACACAAAAATACACGGCTTCTTCTAGACTGATGCTGCTATCACTTGCAATCAGGATTTCGGTGCTTTTTTTTTTGGCAGAACCAATTAAAAAGAATTGCTTAATTGGTGTTAACAAATTTGATGCAGCAGGACCAGTCGAGTTGGCTGATGATGTTTCCTGTCTCTTAATGAAACAGGAACACCTTGCAAGCAGCACAGTCTAAGACTTGAATCAGTTTAGCTTGACAAGTTGATCTTCCCTTAATTCTGAGTCACATAAGCAATGGGTGAAACTGACAGGCATATTACTAATTTACAAAAAGCTTAATTAAGATTAATAATACGATGGTTAATATTTAATATACATTCTATAAATCACCCCTGTGTTGTTAAAATATTCATTTTCATTGAAGTTACCCTGTAACTGTTTATGATTTCAGATGATTTGGATATGAAGGACCCATTTAATGTGACTCTGTGAAAACTTACAGCGAATCATGAATGTGTAGGGCAGCGTCTCTCAATCTGGTCCTCGGGGACCCACAGACAGAATACATTTTTGCTCCCTCCCAGCACCCTGCCAGACAGTCCACATTTTTGCTTCCTGCTGGGAGCTGGGAGGGATCAAAAACATGGAATGTCTGGGGGTCTAAAGTAAAAGTGTCGCAATGCTTTTTGACAAATACTGGCAGGATGTTAATCTTTTACTCCATTGTAGCCCCAATGAGGACAAAAAACAGAGTACATTTTCAGCTTCTTCCTCCCCAGGCATGGAACACAGAAACACAGAAGAATGGAAACCTCAGGCCCTTGATGGGACAGGCATGTGTGCTGTGTGCTGGCCCCAAATTCTCCTCTGCCAGCTTAATTGAGCAGTCAGACTGAGGCATAGTTCTTTGTGAGTTTGTTCAGAGGAGGTCCGAGTCTGCTGCAGGGCTCAGACCTCTTCCCAAAAGTCGCCTGATTAAGGTATGGGGCATATGGTGGGGGAGGGGTGCCTGAGGAACCCTCACAGAGTCTGGGAGCTTTGTGGGTCACTAAATCAACCCTTTGTGAACTGACACCACAAGCTCTTCGCTAGGTGACGTTCAGATACTTCTTTCCGGAAATTTCGGCATTAACTTCAATTAGCACCATGGTTTCAGCGTTTTACGCTTTTGGCACGCTAACATCCATTTGACGATTTCAGCTAATTTGGCCACATGAAGGGCCAATTTCGGTGCTATATTTCCGAGGGAAACACATCCTTATGAATGTTAATTAAACTAATGTTAATGTGACAGATTAAGCCAGATGAAATGAAAACCAAGAGTCACACAGCCCAGGGTGGATGGAGTTTAACACGATACTTTTTAAAGATGACGCTACTACAGAGAAAACGTGGGTGAACCACAATTTGCCCTAGCAGCCATCAGAATGGCAGTAATCACCATAATGCAAGATACTTTCATATATGCTTATAAAGCAATTCATAGCGTACATTGGAGTAACGGCAGTGGCACTGCTAGGGATTTTGGGCCTAGCATATGATATATGGGCACCCCAACCGAGACCAATCCAATTACGTTTTTAGGGCCTCTGTCCCTCAGGGGCCCCTGGAATCATGCTAACTTTGCTTCCTGCATTTATCCATTTATAGAACCTCTGAATGATTGTCCTCTCCCACAGCTGTCTGGTTCATCTGTTTACATCCCCCTGACCATCGCATTGTGCGAGACTTACCTTCTGGGTGATGATGTTGACCCAAGGGGAGGTGCAGTTGCTGAGGTCCGGGCCCTGCATGTCCCAGTATGCGTCGGTACACAGGTACGTGGCCGTCCCTGCGAGGGAGAGTGGTTCAGCCCGTGATGACATAATTTTAAATGCTGAGCTTCCCGCATGACCCTGCTTCTCAGCATTCAGGAGGAATGGAGCATCACTTCATCCGCTCGGATAGATATCAGGTCCACGCTCTGGTTACTCACACTGGGGACAGGCATGTCGTTCCCACCTCCAACCCTGTGCCTGACTTGATCTAATTGTTCTTTTTCCTCCATCTGTTCATGCAGCATCTGCTGCTAATGCCCTGGTCTGTTTGTTCAGTCATATTACTCTGCTCCTCAATTTGATGGAGTCCATCTAAAACCAGATCTGCAGACTTTATTGATTGTTTTACTTTCAAATTCCAACCTGCAAAATAAATGTTCCTGCCAATTTTTTTTTAATAACTTCCGGAGGCCTGCAAGACTCCCAAATGGCCAATAACAAGTGGCTTTGAAGGCATGTTACATGCTTCAAATAAAGCCCCTTCTACAGCTGCTAGATTCTCCATCCACCAATGCTGATGATTCTCTGAACTGAAGAAAAGGACTGAAGGGAAACAATAAAACGAGCATCAATAAAAAAAAAAAACCCATCTTCCCTCAGGATAACCTTCCATTTTGCTACGCTAACCTGCCTCCCTTATTAGCCAGTTCAGCATGGAGGGGGTAATAAAATGCAGAGTGACGAGTCACAGTGAATTATTGTAGCATCTACTCTTTGTGTTTAACAGCACGAAAAACTGACAGAGACAGGAGGAGGAAGCAGCAGATGTGAGGAGGAAGAGCTGAGATGAGAGCATTCCCGTTCAGATCCTGGAGGATTCAGTAAATATTTGAAGGCCCAGCAGCATCAATACCAAAGACTGACTCAATGACTTTTTCAGAGGGAAAAAATTAAAATCCTTTTATTTCATATGGTGTATGTATATTTAAACTATTTTATCACCTTTATCCAAGCCCTGGGAAATGAGGGACATGTTAATTACACGAAAAGAGATGATATTAAACGAGGTTGTACCATCATCCAAAATGATTAATTCCGCCAGTACAGCATCTCAGCACGCTGCTGTAAGCATCCATTAATTTGGTCAGATTGTTTTGTTCCTGAAGAGGATAGAGGGGGGAGGCTACCCCACAAATGGGGTGGTGAGGTGGGGGTCATATTGACCCCCCTGTTACCAGTCCAAAGTGATAAATATGCAGACAATTTGACAGCAAGGGCTGGGCTGGGGGAAACAGCATTTTTATGACCGAAGGCTGAGGAAGCATATCACTTCAACAAGCAGAAAAGCTGAAAACATCCTTCCATTCCAAAAGGAGGGGGTGGCGATTTGTCAGATTAATGACATCAACCGGGTTCTGACATCTTGCACCAGGGTGCGGACTCTCGCCTGTGGCAGAGAGTGCCTTCTCGTCCCGATCAGCTCACGATCTGAGGCGCTAAATTACTCGTCAGGTCTCTAGGACAAACAAATCCATGGCTGCCAATTACCATCATCGCTTGTGATAACCTATTAGTCTCAGCACCCCGGCCTGATATGCACACATTACGGAAGGGAGGCAATCGATGCCGTGATCGATAGCATGAAACAGAACGCCCCGCTTTTGTCACTGAAGCATATTTCAGGAAGTCTGCCGTGAAGATTAGCATTGGAGAAAAATATATATATGCTGCGCTCATAATATCACAGGGTAAGAAACTGAAAATGTGCTCACTAAATAGAAAATCCACATATATTCTGAAATGTATGCTTCTTGGTGGGGCAAAAATACAGTTTATTGAAAGGCTGCAAAAATCAGTGCGTATAAATGAATTCTTCTGGGGGGAAAAGAATTCTTCAAAATATTGATGAATGAGCAGGACCCTAGAGATGGTCTTGACATTTTAATGCAAATTACACAACGCGACTTCTTTTACCTGCTAGAGGACTTTCTGTTTTCTTTAAGCATAATATTCCTATGGAATGCCATATCTCATAAGGAGACCTTACCTATTGTTCCTGCAGGACACGGCTGCCTAGCAACCTGTCCCCTGTGTGTCTTGGGCCAGGAAATTCCCGCCTCCTCCAGCGGGTGGCAGTAGTCAAAGGCAATGTTGGGTAGCTGGGATGAGGGAGCGGGCCGGGTGGTGACCTCTGGGACGATGCCCTCTGCTGGCCGCTGTGTGGTGGTACTCCGGGTCCGTGGGCTGGTGGTGGACATGTCAGTGACCCTTGTGGTGGTGGAGAAGGTGACCGTTGCCAACCTGGCAGTTGTCTTGGCGGTGGTTGTGTCCACAGCGACCGGGACGAACGCCGAGGATTCTGCAGTGAATAATATACGTATAAATGAAAATGTTCATAATCACTCACAAGAAACACGCAAAAGAAAACAGTTTCTATACGAGTTCCCAGAATGAAGAGCTGCTGTTGTTCAATATGATTTTAACTGGAGGAATTTTCTGGAAGGTACTCCTGGAGTGAAATACATTAAAATATTTTTTTTGTGCATTTAATCACATATTTTGTGTTTCTGAAAACAAATCAATAGCAGAATTCTGTTATATTTATAGCCAAAAACTGAAAGCCCATGCTATGTTGTGATTTTTCTGGGCATTTCTCCCATAGAAATTCTTTAAAGTTCTTGAGTCTCTCTGGCTGGTTCTGCCCACCTGCTGGTCCCCACAATGTAATATTAACATAATCCACACACACACACACACACACACACGCACACACACACACACACACACACACACACACACACACACACACATACACAGACGCATACTCCAGCTTCATGTCATCAGCTATCAGTTCAAGCGGAACGTGAATCTCGCTATGGCTCTGAGCAGAAAATGGGCCTCTGTTGCCATTAAGGATGCAGCCTGTGATTGGTGGAGGGGTGAAGACCATCCTTTAACAACAGCCGCAAACAGGAGGACAGGGCAGGAGGAGGATGGAAGGGGGTAAAATTAAGACAAAACGAACCAGTGGGAAAACAAACAGTCGCCAGTGAGGGATGTCACTGCCATTATGTTTCTTTATGACTGACTGGTTCCCAGAAAACAAACAACATTATACATATATACAAAAGAACTAAATGCAAAATAATACTGAAAATGACTATTCCATAGAAAGATCCACTAGGATACATACAGTGATATAGAACTATGTTATTTTATATACTCTGCAGTACACTTTATCGAAAACAATTTATTAATTCATGAAATTACACCATTTCCTACTGTCCCAGACATGAATGCACCGACGCAGAAACATGAGCATAAAGTACAACTTCATCCTCATGACAAATAAACAATCTAAATGTACAAAAATGGACTAACGACTAGACTCCTGTACTGTTTTCAACCAGAGTTACAACCTAAAATGTCACTACAATATCAATACAGCCCCCAAAGTACTGCAGACTATCACCATGTCCACACAATAGCTACACCGTGTCATCGTAATATCAACACAGCTTTGCCCCAGTTTACCACGGTGTCATCCCAGGTTACCCTGTCATGATGCCAGTGTAGGTGTGGCTGTCAAACTCTCTCTCCATCTCTGTCCATTTTGCACTTACTAAAATACTCAGGCTGAAATAATACACAAGTGCAAGGAAACATAAGTGCACCGTTTGACCTCCCCTGGGCTGCTAGGCCTGCCCACCCTCTCTGCTCAAATTGCACCCCCACCAGGACATAAAAAGCATGACTCAGGACTTTGGGGGGATGGAACCCTGAAGGAGCTAGATGCCGGCCTGACCATCGGACTTCCTGTATGTGCCTCAGCCACCCCACTGCCCGCCCCAAACATCTAGGGCAGATTTCCTTTGCTCTCACTCGGTTGCAGGCTCACTGAGCCGGCCTGCCTTACACATGGTTAAATATAATGGTTTATCCAGTTGTACAACACAGTTAATGGTTCTAACCCAGGCTCTCAGTGGCCAAAAGAAAAAAAAATCCCTAAAAAGGAAAACATGTGAAAACAGTCTACTGGAGTTTCCTCTTGGGCATGAAACAAAAGACCCCCCCCCCGCACATCATGGCACATGCCAGTGGGCCTATTCCCTTTGTCCACTGCACGCAATTACAGCTTGAATTGGGCCAGGGTGAGCACTGCAAGCCACAGAGAAAGACAATGGGGAAAGGAATCCTTTGGCAGAGGTTTAAGATGATTTGTTGACCGTCACTCTGGATCGACAGAAGGCTGGGAAATGGCGGCAAAGCGCCGAGGCATCGGGCAGTGTCCCGGAGTTCGCGGTCGCCTCCTGCACCCGCCTAACAGCCCTACCCAGCCAGTCACGCATGTTCAGGGCCTCGGGAACTAAAGGCGGTATCTCCATTATGACAATCAGCGAAATCAATGTGGTCAGTTGGGAAAATGTAATGTAAAACAAATGTGTGTGCATTGAAAAACCATCATAAATATTATAGCAAAAACCGCAACCCCATTCTGGATAAGTAAGCGGTCAGGGAAGATGGATGGATGGGTGGATAGATGGATCCTAGGGCCTTTTATTATGCATTTTATACTTTAAATTGTTTAAATTATTTGTTCTTTGGTAGATTATTATGCATGATTATTTATGTGTATATTTTGTTAGATGCTGTATACATGCCAGTAAGACCCTGCCCCCCCCCCCCGCGCATGTTAGATGTTCCCGGATTCCATACGGAAAGTCAGGTACGAGCCTGGAAAGCAGCCTGGAAATGGAATCTCTGCTGGGGAGCCGGGGGCCTTCCCCTGAAGAGCGGGATCAGGGCCGGGAACAAAGAGACTCATTTGCAGCTCCGTGAAGCCGCCCCCCCCCACCCCCGGCCCATACTGTGCTGTGCACATCAGGCCCCATCAGCCCCCACGCGCGTGGAGCAGAATAAACCAAGTTTGCCAGCTGCCACACAGATATAGATTCATCTGTGCAATTTAGCCAGAACATGCATTTAATAATTAATGACTCAGACAAATTAAATACATTTACAAGCCCTCAAAAATCGGCAATTAGTCTGCCTAGCCAAGCCCTCGGTGTAATTATTCTGAGGACATATATTATTCTTATCATACCCGCCCATAGGACATCCTTGCCTTCCAGGGGGCCGTGTGGCAAATTTATCGATCTGCACTGTGCCTCTCACCTCAGATGGTGATCTTGTTTCACCTTTGGAATATGCCGCGGAGCTGTGAATGTACAGGATGTATCTGGAATTAGCATGGAACCATGGAAACGGTTACCTCATCATGAGACATTATGACAAATATTACTTGATTGATGTAAACAGATAACCGGCAGAAAAGTCTGAAAATCCCTTTTATTAAAATCTCTGTTCCTTTCTTGGCAGCCTTTGCAGTGTTGCAATCCTCGAAACACAAATTTTTATTATTTAAACAGAACACTCATTTTGCAACAGTTGCTTCTATATCAATGAAGAAGCCATTTTGGTGTGTGCTCAATCACACTCTTTATGGTCCCAAAAACAAATCAATAACAGCATTCTGTTTCATTTACAGCTGAAAGGGGTTCCATGCTGTTCATTTTTTTTGTATTTTTTTTGGGGGGGGGGGGGGGCATTTCTCCTGTAGTCATCGTTTAAAGTTCTCAGGTCCCTCAGGCTGGTTAACCCAACTGACAGAAAGTCCTGGGAGCAGACACACGTTCTCGTCACATGGTGAACATTAAACCCGCTACGTCTCCAAGCGGAAAACAGACGCTTTGCCGCCATCGAGGATGAGGACTGTGATTGGTGGAGGTGAACATTTCTCTTAACCAACAGCAGCAGACCAGGAGGACAGCAGTGCAAGCCTGATATTTAGCTACTGCCATGATCATATGAATGTAAAACACGTTCAAGCTCGCAGCTTTATAATAATATGAAAAAATAAAGTATATGTTTACTTGCAAAAAGGAGGTGTCTGGAATCTATTGGTTTCTTTTGTTAAAGATCAGGTTTATTCAATTACAGGCATCTAAATTTTCCAATATGTGTGACTGTGTGCCCTGTGCACTGGCATCCTGTCTAGAGCACCCCCTGCTGTTCCCTGTGCTGCCTGGGGTGAGCCTCAGGCTCATTGTGACTCTGTACTGGATAAGCAATAGGAAGATGAAAGGATGGATGGACTGATATTTCTGTAGAGAAAAATTTACAAAAACAATAAGCACTATCACAAACATAAGTGTTTGTAACATGTCCTAATCTATTCAGAGGACATTTTGTTGCTGGAATTAAAATAATATAATATAACATAATATAAATAAATAAATAAATAAATAAGTTCTGAGACGTTGCTATGGATTAAAACTTCTGAACATGTCTGTGATCTAAAAATACATCAGCATGACAGTCACATCCACAGGTAAGTATAGAAAGTCAGTCACGCTCTCAAGTTCAAAAGGTGACTCGAGGCAATCACCTGCGACACCCACAAACAGGGACTTGCCAGTAAGCAGCCGTAGGGAATTGTGGGAATAAGAGGCCCATTCTCTGTCCCACCAAAGCCGGATCGTGTCAGGCCCTTCTCCTCGTACGCTGACACAGACGGCCGCTATTCGAATGCAACTTGCGACACAACTGTTCATGATAGCATTGAGACAGAAGCGGCGCAGAGAAGCGGCGTGGCATTCCTCCGGCTAGCTGACCTCCACCGCTGATGATGGAGCCATGACGGCCATGGCGGGGCACAATGCTGTCATTATGCGACACTGCACTCGCCGAAGCTCAGCATCATCCGGAGGGAGGAAGCGAATATGACAGCTGATGAAGGAGTCCGCCGGCCAGTTTTACAACAAAGGAACCATCCATTTACCAACAAAAACTGGATCGAATAAACTCAGCTGTAAGTGAATTAATGGCAAAATGGACGCAATCTTCTCACTGTAACTCATACCCTGCTAAAGACCACCAAACATGGGATGAAAGACAAATGAATAAAGGAGGAATGATCCGGCTTGAACTGGTCCAGCCTGGTATGACGCCACGTCGGTCTAATTCAGTTCGGTCCCCTTTCTACAGTTATGTAAGCATGGTGAGTCATCCTGAGTCCTTCCATGACAAAATAAAGTAGCTTCACGCTGATCTGCATTCTTGAGGAGTAGCTGAGCCATAAAGGTTTTTAGACCTGACAAAGAACAAGAATTAGACAGGTGCTTTTTTAGGGCAGGCTGAAGACATGAGAGGCCCAGAAACGACGGTGATGAGGCAGGAGAGTCACTCCAATAGCTTTCAGAAATGGGAGTTATATATAACAAGTACATGCACAGCGGTAAACAGAGCATTCAGAGAAAACAACCCCATTCTGGCAATGCTTCGGCAACATTACCACAA